GGATAATGAAAATAAACGTTCGTGGCTCCCAAATAAAATATCGACATAATTTTTGAAGTGAATAATCCAAGAAAAAAATAGTCGTCTCTGGGCGCAGAAACAGAGAAACGCCCGTAGGCGCGGAAAAAAGAAACGTCAGAGGAAGGCATGGAACCCATAATCCACATTTATAAAATCAACAGAAAGGTAATATTCAAACTGGATAAGTCAAACGGATTGAGCTGAATAGGGAAATTACTAATGAACGGAGCATCAAAAAATACTCAATTGGGTCTCTCTCAAAGTAAAGTGTCACCCAGCCGAGTTCCAGTGGAAGAGGAAGTTTTTAAGCAAGCACAAAAATAACTTCTGATGAAGGATAGGGTTCGCTTCGCCTCTCACGCTCTCTTGCACCACAGCAACCACCTACCCAGAAGCATCTTCATTGATCAAGGATGACCATGTGTAAGGAAGTCGTGCATCTTGTAGTCGTCGGATTGGGAAGGACACGAAGAGTTCGAAGACAACGCTAGTGAGTCGTAAATGTCGGCCACAAGTCATGTGCGGATCTATGCGATGACAGAGCTTATTTATTACTTATATCAAAAACAAAGCTTCATAATCGATAAATTTTTTGTAGACACAGATAATAATATTAATGATAATGAAGTCCTTACCATAACCAGTACATAGTTCTCTTTTGAGCAGTTCTGATATGTTATGTTGGGATAATTCCAGTTTTAATCGAGTATTAAACTTCAAGGTTTCTGCATAAGGCCTGGAACCACATTTTAATGGATTACTAGTCTATGGGTAAGTTTAGTACAATCAAAGTTGAACTTGTCAGTATTGCAGTTCATAAAAATTACAAAATTATAGGACACCCTCCAAAAACATGAATATCTCGGCTTCTAAGAATCGTCACTCATCGCAACCTGTAAATCGTAACCTTATTTATAAAACCCACACTAATGAGTCACCAGTTTTCCGATTGGTCTCCCGTATTCTTGTACAAATTGGTTTTCGAGCCGGTGCAAAATCACCCTCCTTCGGAACCTCAAAAATACAGGAACACGCCAAATCTTATGGCTGCAGTATTTTTAAGGGAACCACTTAGAATGGCACCATCCATACGACGAAATCTGCACTGCAAGTTATACATATATAAATCACTGGTGCTCTGGGGCAATCTACTTCAAAACTTCGAACTGTGTTGTCTTGTGAGTAATTATCGTCGTAAGGCACATACGCTAACAAAGGTATCCAATTGAGTATCGACAAACTGTGACGCGCGAATCTCTTGCTGGCCATCTCTTCATTATATAAACCGCAACCTTGGCGTATCGATTTATGTGTGTATGTATGTGTGTAAGTTTTGTTTGTCTGTCCGCCTCGGAATGAAGTGAGTGATAAGGCACTTGATAGAAGAACAAGCCATCTAACCAACTCTGATGCTTGCTACGTCAAAGTATTGCAATGGCAATAAATGACTGTGACCACACCCCAAACGCTATATGTAAACCACAATGTACCGTCACTTTGGGTCATTCTCACAAGACGGCTTAGCGTGGCAGCTGGAGAGCAATGGAGGGAACAGGGGCGGATAAGTGGAGGAGAAGGAACGCAAGCTCATGCAGTTAAGGGAGGCTCTGGCGGTTGCCGAGGACCAGTCTGGCTCTATTGAAGTGCCTTTGTTCAAACCACTGGCTGAAATCGAGCCCTCGCATGACAAGGTAATCACTCGTTGAAAAGGTAGTCTCCTAGGCGAATCTGGATAAGAAAAAAGAGCATTGGGTTTTGTGCCCTTTCCTGCGCCTAATAAACTCACTCCAGCGGCGAAAAACTTCAAGATTAGGACTCAGGATGGGATCACGCATATCACATCTTCAAGCAAACCATTCGAACCATCGAAGGTAAACTTTTGTTACCAAGGAATTCTTCTTATAGATTATAAAGCGACTAACTTTGTTGTCGTTTGTATGTAGTTGTGTGTGTAACGATGTTACCTATGTTACTGTTGTCTGTCCGTCACTCAAAATGAGTGGTGAGAAAGGAAGACTTATCGGATGACCAAACCGCTTAACAATCCGGTAGCAGGTGAAACTCCAGTTCGGGGGGGCCACTCCATTTTTTCTCCAATACTCAAGATAAGGATTAGAGGGCTCACGACACGTAATCGACTCATTTAAAGTAGACTTCTGATAATATTGGTGTAATGGGTGAGAAACCCTGAAACGTTTTCACATTTCCGCCTGCCATGACCCAAGGGAACGGTCCTGGACCAGGAGAAAGGACACCTCCGCAAAGGGCTAAGGGTGCAGGAGCTCCAGGGTGGATCACCTGTGCAGAAAAGTGGATGGGATGTGGGCAGGTAGTGTGGAATGTAGGACATCCACCGGTCCTTATCAAAAGTACGCTCGAAATGAGTCGTTTCACTTATTATCTTATCCGTTCGATAGCCCAAAGAACTGCTCTCTAGTACTACGGATAAGATAGCAATGGAGTGGCCCCTCGAACTGTGACGTCTGCTAATATCGGGTAGCTTACAGGATTTGAGATATCAATGTTTTGTAGCAGGATAGTTGTGATAACACTCTTAGGGCTATATAAACACCTGCTTAGCACACTTCCGTTCATTCCACATGGTGCTGCAGTGGCAGCTGGAGGGCAGTGGAGAGAGGAATGTGGTGGGTGAGTGGTGATGTGATGTGTCCGGTATTGTGCGATGAGGTTGCTCGCCAAGACTCTTCTACGAGTTGCCACGCGGAATTGAACCTCTGAAGTGCTACAGTGCACGGCTTAGTCTAAATATTTATTAATCTAACCGAACACTAACGAGTAAATCTGCCGTCCGAATATTGGATGTTGATATTGGTTGCCGCCGGATATTGATTGTATTGATCGAAGCCGGATATTGGGTATTGGAGGTGAAGTGCCGGAGATGACCAGATGGAGGTCGGAAGACGGATGAGCCACTATGGCAATGAGCCCCGACTGAGGAAAGCTCCCGCTATTTATACCCCTCGACCGGGATCGCTGGGATCGATATGTGTCTGAAAGAATGCGGAGTTAATTGAAGTTTCACGTAAACAATGCTGGTATGTTGCAAAATATGCGCTCTTCGCGTACTACGATGAGTCACTACCACTTATCGGCGGTCAGTGAGGCCACGCCTCCCATCTCGCTCGGCTCGGCGGCATCAAAGAACGATCAATGGTACTGTCGACGATGCGGTCGGTGAGGCCCAGCCTCCCATCTCGCTCCGCTCGGTGACATCAAAGAACGATCAGTGGCACTGTCGAAGCTGCGGTCGATGAGGCCACGCCTTCCATCTCGGCTGGTTAGCGGCATCAAAGAGCAATCAGTAGTACAGTTGCATCTGCATAACGAAACAAAACAACAAACAATAACATTGCAAATATTGTAGCCGTTGCTACAGGAAGGGAGGATGAGGAAGGGAAGCGAAAAATCTACCGTCATATCATGATTGTGTCCCTTCTACTGTATGAAACACCATTGTGTTGCATACGCGTCACTTCCAGGAGGTGTTGGTGTCACAGGAGGAAGGGACCATAGCGGAGGATAGAAAGCTTGCGCAGGAAAGGAAGGTCCCGGCGGTTGACGGGGGACTAATCTGGTATAATAAAATATATTCCGAATGAAAATTAGCTCAACAAATTCCCTGTGACAGTCTTGTCGTTGAATTTCTCTTCTCCGTTTTTGACAAAGACGCCGAACGAGCACGTTAGACCCTGCGCTAGTCGGCTATATCTGTGATTTTGCTAGAGGAACCCAGTTCTATGTTTTCTTTCTGTCGTAGAGCTGACACATGCTGAGCGTGAAAGGTGGTTATGTTCGATGTTGGCTTCGAGATAATTTACCAATCACTAAGAAGATTTTGTGATTGTCTTGGTACTGTCTTGTTCCTATCTGTATTGAGAATTTGAAATACCAGCCGCTGCTTTCCCTAAGCTCTCAAAGATGGCTTGGATGCTTGTGGTAGAGCCATCAGGCGTGCGTTAAAACAACGTCTGACTTTCACTTGCGGTGGGGAGCTAATTTGAAGGACGTAATTCCTAGCAGAAATGTCGCACGCTGATAAGTGCTACTGTCTTTGCCGGTTGGATAAAAAATCCAACAGTAAGGAGAATTCTGAGGGATGTCCCATGTCTTTGCACAAGCTCCAAATTGAATAAATTTGTCCGCAAATGTGGATACTAATCGGATTACCTGGTATATTGTGAGCATATCTTGTGAGTTTTTTTACAGAAGCTAAATTGAGTTTATAGGTAGCGATGAACGACCTTTTCTAGAAGTCGATTCATGTTTTTGGAGGGTGTCCTATGATTTTGCACCGCGCTGTACAAGTTGGGGCGCTGGTGTTGTCGAGTGGGGCATCCTTCTGCGACCTAGGTCTAGGAATAAGGAAGAATCTTCGGAACTGCTCAAGCACAACTTCTCCTAGTACATCTCTAAGGCTTAGTTCTAGGAGGGACAGCAGCGGTCGTGGTTTTGGCTGTATAGGCTCTCTGTGTGATAAAGCCCGCGCTAAGATCGAAGAATAACCTTTTAAAGACTGACTTGGCGTATAGCAAGTATAGTCGTTAAATTTCGTCACAACACGACCACGCGATAAGATACCAAATTTATTATACCGCAATCGCCACCATATAAGGTACCTCAAACTTGGGTAATTAAACGAGAAAGTAGATGTCCAGATAAAATATGAAGCGTAAAATATGTATGGAACGACGGTCGGACCAGTGTCAGGCTCGGGCGCTTATATACGGAGTTCGCAGGTGGTGGTTCTCCAGCATTCCAAGGAAAAGCCCAGATGTTCGGTCCTTTTCGAAGTTCTTCCGACGTCCATAAGGCTTTTCTGTGTCAAAGAAAATTACAGCTGTTCCATGATGAATGATGACTAACATATATACTATGCACTTTTTCATCGCCTTACCCAAATCTTGCAACTCGCGGATCGCCGCGATATTCCCGGCCACCACATGCTTGCTGGAATTGAATCACACGTCCACTCCGCGTCTTCGTAGTTTCCTTTCCAATCTGAGAACACAGCCGAGGGCGTCACTGTAACGTCGCTGTAATAGCTCCAGCTCATCGTTGATACGTACGCTCTTTTCTGGCAGGGTACACAGCGCAGAATTGTGCCCACTACGTCCACAGTGGTAGCATCTCGTGTTGCGTTTCAAGCATCGTCGTCCTCCTGGACAGTCGTAGTCGAGGCACATAGTGCATAGGTGTGCTAGATTTACGCGTTCTTTCCGTTCTCCCGTGAACCTGTACACTAAGCAAGAATCAGAATAATGATCCCCTCTTCGTCCGCAAAAGGCGCACGGCATGAAGCGTTCGTTAGGGTTCTGGATTATTCCGTCGAATTTTCTTGTTTCACACCGTTCCCTGTTTTCTAGCTCGTTGATCATCATTCGGAAGTCTAGCATTGCTTGTCTTGCTTGTCGCAGTTGCTGCCGCAAGTCGGCTATCTCGTCACGAACTTGCTGGACTGGTCGTCGAGGTCCAACGTCCTGCGCATCATTGCGTATTTCGCCTTCTTCTCCGTCGGGGCCATTCCCTTGCTCTTCGTTGCGAATTTCGGCGTCCCTTTCGTAGTCGAATCCTTGCTCTTCATTACCACCTTCGGCGTCACTTTGGTTGTCAGAACCTTGCTCTCCATTACCAGCTTCGGCGTCACTTTGGTTGTCAAAACCTCGCTCTCCATTACGGACTTCGGCGTCACCTTCGTTGTGAAGATCTTGCTCTTCATTAGAAACTTCGGTGTCACTTTCGTTGTCCATTTGCGCCTCCTCATCGATCATCACGAGGTCATTCTCCATTGGTGGCTCTTCATCAAATTCATTCAGCTGCTCCATAAATTGCTCGTTATTCCGGATCACCTCGGATTCGTCCACTTGGTTGTAGATCTGTTGTTTCATCGCTCCCATTCTATCAGTGTCGTCGTCGACGCGGTGTTCCGCTGATTCCGAGGCAGCGGAATGAGTGATGAAGTTAGAGATAAGACATCGTAGCGATTCCAACTCCGCAAGTACTTGAGCACGAAAGTGTCGGTCTTCTTGAAGATCCTCTTGCCTGAGTGTATCACCATATTCGCGTAAGTTGGCGCATTGATCCTCCAGGATGCCAAGCTTGTCGAGTATAGCTTGCTCCAGCTGCTTGTTGTTGACGAGCAATGGTTTTCCGTCATCGTCTTCTTGTTGTCTGTTGATCATCATTCTCCATACTTCAGGTTCGACCTTGTGCGTTGCAATTAGAAGGCTTGGAAGAGCCCAGAGAGTAGCGAGTTGTGATCGTACGAGATAAAGCTCGAGCCTGACCCTATTGACCGTCTCTACTAATAACCGATATAAAGCGTAACGTTCCTGTCGTGAATCTTGCGAGGTCCTCATCGAGCGTATCCACAATCCTAGGTTGTCGACGGATTTTGACGAGACCCAAAATTGTCTACACGTTCGGATAATTCTTGCATAGAGGTCTTCCGGTTCCGGTAGAGGCGGAAGGGCCCTAAGGAGGGCGTCATAATCGGCTTGTAGGCGTTGCGTATTTTGATCCTCCATGCTCTGAACCACGGAATGTTACCATTATCGATTGAAGCTGAGGAAGTGCTGCTCTTCATAATCATAGCGTACAATTGTATAGATATCTCTAAGCGTCTAGGCGTCTAAAAGCAGGTTACACTACCGTGAGTAGGCCATTTGCCATCTTCCGCATTAGAAAATCTTTTCATGCGTGATGGGCAATATGGTGTTTTTCCTCCGCGCTAGAGTTCGGACCCTTCGTAGGAGTGCTCTCAAGGGACAGCATAAAAGCGTACAGACGATGTTAAGCGCAAGCCGACCCAAGCGAAGTCCTACTGTTGGCAGATAGAGGTATGATAGCACCAGAGCCACGGCCAAAATTATCATGCTCAGAAGTAGCGTTTTGTACCATTCTAAGACTACGTCGATGATGTGGCTCATATCCGGCCATTGGAAGGTGTTGAAGGTGGTACTATTTCCCTCGAGTAGATTCGCAAAAACCATTGAAATTTTCCCAGTATACTTCAGGACTCCGGCGACCACAAAGTAATTAGTGTTGGATCCACATGATATCGAACAGTTAAGGAATTGTCGCGCAGAATCGAAGTTAAACTGCAGCAAGGATTCTGTTGCGTTCGGTGAACATGGTATGACAAACGACTCTTGGCCGCAAATGACTTCCCCTAACGTGCTCCTATCGGATTTGCATCGTACCGCTGCCTGTGCTCCTTTTGAGCAACGGTAACATCCGTTGAGGTCTGCGTCCTCTACCGAGCAATGATCGTTGTGGACCATTATCGCAACCGCATCCAAGGTAGACTGGAAGTTTATCGTCACATCAGCCGACACCATATCTGGTATTTTGGCGGTAACCGTATTATCCTTACTTGTTGATAGTTCCCAGACCGGGGATCTTATTGGAAACTTGGCGTCGAGATGGTCAAATTCTTTCTCCACATCTACAGTGGAGCATTCGCATTTGACTTTGTTCTCGGCGGGTTCGCATCGGCAGTCCTCAGCGACCGAGCAAGTCATGTTTGCAGCGTCTTCCCGCGAAGCGCAGATAAGATTTGGCGTTTCACTTTTATGCCAAATCGACGTCTCCTGGCCGTTGGATATGAAATGGCTGTGGAGTAGTGGTGTAGGTGGAAGGCTCACTGAGGTCATGGTGAGACGCAATGAAGAGAGCTGCACGGGTACATTTGGTTTTACCAGAAGCTCGTATTGTTGCTTCCCCCCTTCATGATGAAAGTCTTCCATTGTGAGCAACAACTTAACTTGTTGCGACCAGCGTATGCATCGGAATACTTCATATATCCTGGCTGCTGTGGGGACAGCGTAAACCCTGTAGAAGAGGCAGCCTGAACTGGGGTACCAACAGCCGCAGCCTAACCATCCGCACGACTCGAGACATCCCGTGCGTCCCGGGTACCGATTGGCCTTTTCTAATTCGCGGACCAAGGTAGAGCTGTTGATATTCGCACATTTTTCTTCGATGCAGGATCCCGTGCGAGCGCAGCGTTTACTGTCCAACACCTTGAGGACCGCAGGGCGTGTAAAGTATAGCGTTTCCTTTTCGCAATTGAGGTAGAGACCTTTCCATCGTACCCTTATGTTGGAAATGAGCGAAGAATTGTACAGTATGCGCAAGCAAGCTTCTTGCTTGAAGGCATTGAGTTTCAGAAGTTCAGTAGTAGTTATATTACATGTTTGTCCTTCCCTCGACGCTGAGCAGACAGTTAATTGATGTTCAAACGCGTCAACTAGCTGACACGCCCTCACCCCTCCAGGTGAAGCGGCCGTAATGCATAAAACGACTGCTAGTGCCATCTGAAGTCTTTGACGTCGAGTGCGCGCGTGTCTGCTGGTAGCATATCGTAGGAATTTAAGGATACAGCGTCCGAGGTGAGACAGTGCCCAGGCCAGAACAACATATATTCCGTTGAGGATCAAGCGTATCGGTTTCCCTATGGTCATTGGGACGTAAAGAAGCAGGTAGCATGCTGCCACGACAAGATACAAACTTATTATAAAAGTCGATATCGCCGCAATCGGCCAGCATTCAGGATTGAAGAGAACCTGCAGGCAGAACCAACAATCGATATTTTCACAAAAGTCTAAAGCACGGCAGACTGTTTCCACCGTCGCTACTTCTCTTCCCGTGCTCCATTTGAGCATGACCCGGTAGTCCTGGAGCGTATATTCGGGCGGGAATGTGGCCAAAACTGACAGCTCCTGGGTGTCGTAGCGCTTGCAGAAATGATCGGTGCAGATCTCAAAGGTGACATTGCTACGAGCCTTTGACACTAAGACTCCTTCATCAGTGCACGACATCTGTATTAGAGGAGCGTGAGGAGTTGAGATAACCCCGAGACAGCTTGCGGTCATCAAATAGAAAAGGAACCATTTTCTGGCTGTCTTACTACGTTGGGGAGAAGACGTCGACACCGCACTTATATTCTTCGGTCGGGTAGGACGTGGTCGAAGGTTGTAGCGGTGTGTTTGTGCCGTTCGTTCTTCGCTTTTTTCGGGTAGAGTAGGCTCATTGTACCCGGAATCTGCTGAATCATGGACGTCATTTAGGTTTTCTTCGAAGTCCATGCTGGATTCTTGAACTTCCAAAGGTACCAAGAGGTTGACGGGTCTTCGAATCTTCCTTTTTGAGGATGTCATCAACTCCACCTCACGAATAGCACCGTCTCTTCCATGCCTCACTTGGCTCACTCTTCCCATCTTCCACTCGTTGCGTGGAAGGACAGGATCAGAAACAAGCACAACGTCACCTACGGTAGGTGTTAACTGCCCTTGACGTCGGATAGCTGGTGAACGCTTTTGCGTTTCGCGCAGGTTGGTCAAATATTGTTCACGCCATATCTTCCAGAAGTTCTCTGTGAGTTGGCATGAAGTGCGTAAGGCCTCCACAATCTCGCAACGTGTTTGGAGGGCACGAACCTCTTGAGGGGAAAGGTAATCAGGGTCATCTGGATTCGTTTCTAGTACGTGATCCATAGGTAATGTCACTACCAGATCCTTTTGTATGAAGTCAATTGGGCGAATAGAGGTCAGCTCCTCATGAGTCGCGCTTTGATAGGTAAGCGGCCTGGAATTGAGGCATGCCTCTATTTCTGTTAGTACTGTGCGCAGATGATCTCCTGTTCGATGTTGAGCACCTCGAAGTGCCTTGTAGAGTGCTTGTTTCACTGACTTGATGAGCCGTTCGTAGAAGCCCCCTTGCCATGGGGCATAGGGTGTGATATAATTCCACTGGATCTCTTCGTTACTTATAGTCTTGAGGACGTTTCCTTGGTGCGTGGTTGCTTCTGCTAGAATTTTCGCACCGAGCAAAAAGGTAGGAGCGTTATCACACGTGATTGACGTAGGAACTCCTCTTCGTGCTATGAATCGACGTAAGGCATTTATAAAATCCTCCGTGCTCAAACTGTGGACCATTTCCAAATGGATAAGGCGCGTAACCGCACATGTGAAGATGCACCCGTAGGATTTATTCGAGTGGTCCGTGGTAGCAGGACAAGGCAAATCAAAGAAGTCTAACCCGATGTGTTCAAAAGGGCGGCTGCGTAGCACTCTGCGATCTGGGAGGTCAGTGGAATCCGGATACTGATATGGCAGCGCGTTGAAGCGCCTGCATTTCACACATTGCTGTACAAGTTTTCGCACTTGTTGACGTAGCTTTGGAATCCAGTACTTTGTGCGCACAGTTGCCATGGTATGTTCCACTCCACGATGATACGTCCCATGGGCTTCCTCTATAATCAGTCGGGCGAGTGGAGAATTTGGAGCAATAAAAATAGGACTTTTCGCCTCTTGGGTCAGTGATGCGTACCCTAGCCGTCCTTTGGAGCGCCAAATGTTCTCGTTATCAGAAAAAAGGCGTAAAGTATTCTCCATGGATTTCCGATAACTGGAGGTAAGATAAATGTCTTGATGATTACGGATCAGCGCCTTTCTTGCAGCGCGTATGTGGGATCCGTTGATTGCTGCGAGGTTCTCAGGGATCTCGTGCAGCACTCTCACTTTCTCCATGATCGCATTCACCCTTGCTGTAGGTAGCGCCTTCATAAGTCTCTTGAGAAAGATTAGTACGATGACTGCTACCCGTTTTGCGCGGGATAGTGTGCTCAATCGTGTAAGGTCGACGAACGCCCTCACTCTTTCGGGTGCAGTACCTGTTTCAATAGCTGTTACCACAACTTTTTCCGGTTCGTCGCTGGTGTCTTCGTAGAGGTGGTACACTGGGTGAGTCCATTTTTCTAGCGGTTCCTGCAAGAGCTTGGGACCTGTCCACCATGGGTGACTTCGGAGTTGGTCTTTGGACAGACCGCGTGTGCCCGCATCTGCGGGATTTTCTTTTGTGGTAACGTAACGAAATTCGACAGACAGGCCCTCTTTGCGCAAAGCTGAAACGATTTTTTGTATCTCTTTCATACGGTTGCTCACTAGGCGTCCCAGGCTCGTACTATGGACTGACGAGCCAAGCCAGCTCAGTGCGATCTGTGAGTCGGAGAAGATGTATACTTGTGGTGACTGTGTCACGCGAGATTTTATTGCGTGCCATACGGATTGCACCAACCGACATGCTAAAGTTAATGCATTCACCTCCAACTTCGGTACTGTCGTTTTGGAGCGCACTGAAGGTAGCTTACATTTCCCCATAGCGAGTGCTGCTCCGGTTTCATTGAACACATAAACGCTAGCTGCAATGGCTGTGGTACTTGCATCAGCAAATGCAGCTAAGTTGTAGTCAACGCCTCCTCTTAGAAATTGTCTTGGGAAAGATCCCTCAAATCCATGTATGTTGCGTGCAATGACTGCCCACTCCTCGTATAGGTCGTGAGGGAGACTCTCATCCCATGCGAAGTTGTGTTTCCACAGCTTCTGCTGGAAGCACTTTGCTTTCGTAAGGAGCGGGACAAGCCACCCCAGAGGGTCGTATATGGAGGCGATCCTTCTGGCTACAAGCCTTTTTGTAAGCGTTTCGTCCAGCGGAAATAGGCAGCGAATGGCAAGCGTATCGCTTTGAGCATCCCAAATTATGCCGAGAACCTTTTGGGATGTGCTCTGTGCTCCTATTTCTCTCGGGAATGCATCGTTCAGCGTTGTCTCATTAGAGAGAAACTGTCGCAAATTCATTCCCATGTCATCAAAGATGTGTCGCGCTTGTTCCGCCTTTTTTCGAACTTCTGCTGGTGATCTTGCGGTGAGTATGAGGTTGTCGACGTATAGATTTTCCCGTATTTCTTCAGCGAATTCCACATCTTCCACTGTTGTGCGTAAATGATGGCATACTGTTGCCCCAAGAAGAAATGGTGACGTGTTGATTCCGAACGTGACTCGCGTGAAACGGTATGTGGTGAGATTATCATCATCCACCGGCGCGTTCACGTTTTTCACCCAGAAGAACCTTGTAGCGTCACGGTCGAGTTCATGTAAGCGTATTTGCAAAAAAGCTTTTTCTACATCCGCGATCACTACATAAGGGGCTGTCCGAAATCGTAGAAGCATCGCATAAAGGTCGGGTAGTATCATCGGTCCTTGATGAAGTACATCATTGAGGGATGGTTGATTCGAAAAATGCGCTGATGCGTCAAAGACAATGCGCAACTTCGTGGTTTCCTTGTGAGGGGTGATAACGGGTTGGTGCGGAATGTAATGCAGCACGTCCCCTTCCAGTACCTTGTCGTTAGGGATTTCCTCAATAATTCCATGGTCTTTCTGATCTCGTATAGTATTGTCATACAGCCGTAATAAATCCGGTCGTTGTCTCAGTCTATTGAGTTCGCTATGTAGTCTTCTAAGGGCTATCGCTTTGTTCGAAGGTAATGGATCGTGACCTTCTTTGTATGGTAGTCGAACGTAGTAACCGTCATTACGCCTCTGAACCGTTTGATTGAAAAACTCAGAAACTTTTGCGTTGATCGCTTCCTTTTCCGCATCTTTGGTTCCGGTGAATTCGCATGTACCAGACGAATCCATGGTCCAGTACCTATCCCAGCGTTCCAGCTCTCCGTCGAAATTGGTAAGCGTGTTAACCGTGGCTGGCGATGGAATCATTTCTTCTTGCTCAAGCCCTCCTGTTTTTTGCCGATTACCTCCTTGTTTCCCTGAGAGTAAGTAGCCGAGCTTCGAAGGTATGAGATGCAAACCTGAAGGAAGGGTGTGTTGGGGACAAGGGGTTTGCAAGAATGTCCATAACTGATCGCAGCCAAGTAGTATTTCTGGAGCCCGAGGTGTGCCGTCTTGCGCTGTGGAAAGTACTATGTTGTTACATGAGAGGAATTTCATGTCCTCTTGAGTCAGCTTAGCTGCCTTTCCTGTACCGGTAAGTATCGGCGTTGTGCATAAGCGCAGCATGTGCTTTTGTCCATCCTGGTCCCATATTTCAACCGTAGCAACTTTGCAAGTCATAGTTTTCGGTATTTCCTCGCCGAATGTGCGCATTACCAATGTGCGTGTCGTTGAACAATCCAGATTCAACTGTTGCGCTAGCCTTTCACTTATGAAGGATTGGTCCGCACCGGTGTCTAAAAGTATCTCCACTTTTTTCTTCCGACTGCCACTTGCGTCACAAACCTTCGCGGAGCCCGTGAGTAATGACACACTTTCCCTGTGTGCTTCCTTACTCCCTGCGGACTGCATCACTACCGCCTCCTGCGGTACAACAGGTTCGTCGTCCTGCGCCGTTGTATCTCCTATGCTAGTGATCTGGATTGGGTTAACATGCGTGTCCTCTCGCTTAGGCTGTTCCCTGGCACGCTGATGCATGCCATATGATTTAGTCGGCGATTTAGGCAAAGGTCCCTTGGGAGGAGCCTTTTTCGTAGGTTGCGCCGGGGCTACGTTAAAACTCTTCTGACCCTGTGTACGCTGTGGACACAGCGTATGATGATGTCGTTTACCCTGACAGGTACGACATCCCTGACTTGTGCATTCCTTGAGGAAGTGTCCAGGTTTCCCACAGTTGAGGCAGAGTTTGCGTTCCAGCATTATATTGCGTCGTTCCGGTATGGTGGCGTACTGTGTGCAAATCGACGACTTGTGATGCTGCGACGCGCAAAACATACATTCATCGCCTCTGCTGCTTTTCCATGGAAGGTTCTTAGATTTCGAAGGCACCTCGTTGTCTGTGTTCCTTATTGCAACCATGTCGTTAATGCGCTCTTCTGTGCTGATCAACTGGTCAAGTAGCTGAACGACATGCTGCATGCTCCAGTCAGTTTCGCTGGTGTTATGAGAAAGAAGCGTTGTGAGTACCGTGCGTTGAAGAGACGCGTTGAACTTTGAGAGGACTTTTCTCACGAGATATGAGCCATTTAAGCTCACTTGCTCCTTTTCCAGCTGCGATATAGTTGGGATAAGATATTCCAACAGACGTCGCTGAGCGTGGATCCCCGAACTCTCTGCTTTTGCGCTTTCTAAGCGTCGTTGTAGTGTATCTATCAATTTTGTAGTGTCTCCATATTTCCTTCGAAGAAGCTTTACCGCTTCCTCGTAGTTATCATCGGTGACCGCGTAGCGTTTGATAACCTCTCGTGCCTCCCCTTGGAGTGAAAAAATCAAGTAGTTGAACTTTTGCAAGTTCGTTAATGGTTGTTCGTGAACGTTCGCGCAAAAAAGTTTCCAAAAGTTTTGGAACTCCCACACCTTTCCCGAAAACTTTGGGATAGGTATTGCCGGAAGTTTAGGCTTTCCGGGCTGTAGTATCCCCAAACCCTGTTGTCCCGGCGCGAAACTCATTGTTGGCGCATTTGTCGAGTTCGCATCCGGCGACTCTTGCATGATGTAAGGCGTGGTGTTCTCCATGAGTATGCGTCGTTGGTGCGCCGATCTTAATTTCGCGTTCAATTGGATTGCTAATGCATTAGCGCGATCAATGACACTATGTGCTGTATCGATATACTGCATGGCTTGTTTTTCATGTTCCTCGTCGATTGCCTCTGCGAGCGCGTCGATAGTGTTCGTAAACAAGCCAAGCGCATTACTCACCAGTTCGCTAGTGTCTTGAAGCTCAAACACGAAAGCTTGCGTTTGATCGAAATCATTGGATCCAGCGAGGTTGGTACACTGGGGCCTAGTTGGGATTCGAAGGAATCTATCAAGCGCGTAAGGTTGTTACAGTAGCGCGTTAAAAGTCCTTTCTGTGAGCGTAACGAAGTAGGCCCTGTTGAGGACATATCGAAAGGCAATAGTAGGCACCTTCCTCAGCGAACAATGGAAGTAGAAAATGAAGAAGCAGAAGTAAAGCAAATGAAAGCGTCGCGTGATTTCTCCTTTCCAAAATGGTTAGCGACAAGGTTGGCGAAGTAAGCGTCGCGTGTTTTCAAAGTTCCAAAATGTGTTCGCGACAAGTGGAAGTATAAAAAAACTTCAATTTCCGAAGTCGTACCTCTGTCCGGGCTCACAACTGAGCCGATGCACCATTTAAAGACTGACTTGGCGTATAGCAAGTATAGTCGTTAAATTTCGTCACAACACGACCACGCGATAAGATACCAAATTTATTATACCGCAATCGCCACCATATAAGGTACCTCAAACTTGGGTAATTAAACGAGAAAGTAGATGTCCAGATAAAATATGAAGCGTAAAATATGTATGGAACGACGGTCGGACCAGTGTCAGGCTCGGGCGCTTATATACGGAGTTCGCAGGTGGTGGTTCTCCAGCATTCCAAGGAAAAGCCCAGATGTTCGGTCCTTTTCGAAGTTCTTCCGACGTCCATAAGGCTTTTCTGTGTCAAAGAAAATTACAGCTGTTCCATGATGAATGATGACTAACATATATACTATGCACTTTTTCATCGCCTTACCCAAATCTTGCAACTCGCGGATCGCCGCGATACTGCGACTTTCCCAGCCACCAAACTGAAAATGTTGCAGCAACTGACGTGAGGTGTACGATCTGCGGGCGAACCTGCGAAGACGACAATGTGCTCATTCCCCTGAGGAAGTAGGAGAAGGAAGAGCGTCCAATAAGAAGCTCGAGAAGGAGATTATTCTGGAAAGGAAAAAAGCAAAGGAATCCCCGATTACGTCGTCATCAAGGACCGTTTTTCCAGCATCCCACCCGCAAAGCAAAGGGCGTGTTTGGACTCCAAAAACTCCAGCGAGATTGAGCCTCTGCCAACGCCGCTGCGATTGCGGCCACGCTCTCCTCGCAGCATCACGCTGGTGCGTAGCAAGATAGCGGATGGCGGCTCTCGCGGGCAAAGATTTGGATTACGAATTGAGATAACTTTAAAGAACTCTTGTGTCGCGCACTAACAAACCGTTAAGGGGGCACCTCGTCAACGCTTGTCCACCTGTCTATTACTCTCGGGGATGGAACAACTGTGTGCCTGATCTCAGACCCTTTAAATCAATTGCCTCGCCGTGGGAGCTCTTTCGCGATGCTCCGTTTTCGACTTCAATCTATGGGTGCTAGAGTCTTCTTAGCGTCGACCACTTCCATTCGCGACACGTCCTCTCTCATCAGTGCTTATTGTCATGACCTTAGCCAGCTCAATAAAAAATGAAAAACACTCATTCTTGGCTTTCTCGACGAATTCGTTTCCTACTTTCTTCGCAGCCGCATCCTCTTAGCACATCACTTTCACTTTCTTTTACAGTGGTCGTACAGTTTGATCGGAGGATTTACACTTCAAGGCGAATCCACAGTGCAAGAATTTTCTAATTTGCCCATACGATTGAAAACTTTTTGGAAAAGTTTGATCGTACAATATGGCATCACTCAAGAACGGAATGAATGATCTAAAGTGATCTGTCGTTGAGGAATTCTGCGAATAATGCAAACCACCCATCCACCAATAGCAAACGCAAACGTATTTTCAGATGATCGGTGGTTAATAGTGCATAAGGAACCGCTATCTTCTGTATATGTGTACCTCAGTGGATCAAGTCTCGTTCAAGCTAACCGAGCCTTCCGTGGTGTCATTCAATAGTGAGCCTACAAACTGAATGAAGTCGAAAACACTGAACTATATTGTCGCGTTTTCGCGAGAGATTTTTCAGAGGACATGATACGGAGGACTCGTAAGAATGGTGCAATGATTCAAAGGACGAAACGCAGCTGTACCAGGGTGGTCTTGACTGATAAACGTCGCTGCGCGGGATCCCATACTGGGTCGAAGGCCAAAACAAAAACGATTCAGTTCCCTCATTCTACTGGATTCTTCGTCGGATGTCTTGTTTTGTCTTTATACTTTTCTATCCTCGCTCATGCATGCGGTAGAATGAATCTTCTTGCCACCCACGCCCTTTCTTAGGAACTTTTGAGATTTTGAGATAGTTTTTGGTAGGCCTGACGTTTGAAAAGTTTGTCAAAATCACTTATCACCGGTCGAAACCAAATGCGCTCTATGAAGAGGAAACATTTATTTTGACATTTATTAGGACGATGTTCAATTGTTGATTATTCGATTGTTGAACTTGTTAACAGTTTTGTTTATTTTAACCTGTTTTTTTTGTTCAGTTACCCAACTTAGAGATAAACGATTCGAATGTTGGTATTCGTGTGTATAACCCACGCAGAAGTCGTGAACCACGGGGGACGAAAATTTTCAATAAGGATACGTATTGTTTTCTGATGCAGAAATGGATGGGCAAGAATTTTCAGCAGAAGATTGAAAAATGTGCGAAAAAGCTAAAAGTACCTTTCAGTATGAAAAGTGCGCGAAAACCTAGCGCGTGTACCGGGACGCAAGGTTTGAGGTTGTATGATTTGATGTTGATGACTTTGAACCCAATGATAGATGCTTCGCATTGATCGCGCGCTGCAAACTACACAAAAATTCAAGCTGTCGTTCACGAGGAAAGAGTTGGAAAGCACTCTTTCGAAGAGAGAGTGCACAGCTGAATGCTATCCTAACGAGGATATCCTTACACAGAAGCCGGCTCATCCCAAGGCGGTGGAGGAAGTCGTGGAGACATAATGAAAACAACATCGACGAGAACGCCTTATTGATGGAGGGAAATGGAACAGCAGACGAGAACAGCACAGAGGTAGATATGGATACGGACCACGAAGGTGAAGAACCACAATTCGATAGGGGAAAACGAGTTGCAAGAGCGTCTACAGAAGTCGAGAACGATGTAGAAATCGTGGAACCCCCTAGTCGGTCATAGAAGTACCTCACAAGACGGGCGCTTGCGAAATATATAGGATGAGGTGAAACCATGCGAGCATCAATGAAAGGATATGCAAATTATCGAACAGCTCGAAAGAGAACATAAGTGCCGTCCGAAAAATTTTGAGCAGGGAGAAACATGCCAAAAGGGAGAAAAATTTATGAGGTGTAGTTCTATGAAGCAAATGTGTTCATTACTCCAACCCTTGTGTCGTCGTGCGCCTACCCAAGAAACGCCAAGTCCCGATAGGAAAAAGGAGGTGCTAACTGTGGATGGATGGATATTCTCCCACGGCCGTCGTACATATTCAAAGTACCACTTCACATGCCTGTCATTGTGAATTTCCCGGTCATTATTCCGCTATTTGCGGCCTTCCGAGTTCAGCGAAGACATAGACACAGACACATACGACGCATACAAGCAGGCGCATAACAAACGTTGAGAAGGTTAAGAAAAGTTGACATTCTTGCAGCGCGCTGAGCATTATTTACGTCACCAAATTTGATCTACTCCTCTATGCTCCGGAGCATTTGAATTCATTCGTAATCAAACTTTGAACGCTTTCTTTCCGGGTATCGTTAATCCGCGATGAAATCCTTTTTTAGAAAACATGGCACGAAGATTTGGGCGGAAGTGGTGTAGTGGCAAGTGGCACGCTTCACCACGCGAGCGGTCCGGGGATCAAATCCTGGGTCGTGAGTCGCCCGGGCCAACCAAGCCTTCCATCCCTCCGGGGTCGGTTAATTGGTACCAGACTTGTCTGGGAGGATAAAAACACTGACTTGTACATCGGCTGGCCCCCGCAAGTCATTGTATAGGC